TCATATTCTTTCTGAACTCTTTCACAAATAATTTCCCGATGTAATAAACCTAGAAATCCGCAACGGAAACCAGGACCTAATAATTGCGAATCGATACTTTCTAAACTTAAACTACTGTCTTGAATTTGTAATTCTTCTAAGGCTTTTTTGAATTCTTTGTATTGAGAACTATCACCAGGGTATAAATTAGAATAAACATTCGGCTTTATTTCTTGATAACCTTCTAATGGCTGGGAATTATTATTTAAATCAATTACTGTATCACCAACTTTTACTTCTCGCATGTCGCGAATATTAGCCGTAAATCAACCAATTTCTCCAGCGATTAGTTTTTTTTTTAAAATCTCCTTGGGTGTTTTTACTCCTAATCTTTCTACCTGATAGATTTTTTGACTACTGTGAAATTTAACTTTTTGCCCTTTTGCCAACTCGCCTTCGAAAATACGAACATAAATAACCACTCCATAATAACGACTGTAAAAAAGATCAAATATTAGAGCACATAATAGACCTTCTCGAAAAGTTGCTTTGGGAATAATTTTAATAATATTTTCCAACAACAAGTCCACATTTTTTCCGGTTTTGGCCGAAATTAAACAAATATCACTCTCTTGACAATTGAGTAGTTCAATTAGTTGAGTTTTGGTAGTAGTTAGTTGAGCTGAGGGCAAGTCGATTTTATTAATTACTGGTAAAATTTTTAATTCAAGGTTTTTAGCAACTTCGTAGTAAGCGAGAGTTTGAGCTTGAATACCTTTAGTAGCATCGACCAGCAATATTACTCCTTCGCAGGCAGCCAATGAACGAGAAACTTCATACATAAAATCGACATGCCCGGGAGTATCAATCAAGTTAAAAATATAGGGCTCGGGGCTTTCCGGAGGATAATATAATTGAACCGCATTTAGTTTAATAGTAATACCTTTTTCCTGTTCCAATGAAAGGCTGTCCAATATTCTTTCAAAAGATTTACTACTGTTTTTTAAGTTAGTTTTTTCTAGCAAACGATCCGCCAAAGTTGATTTTCCATGATCAATATGAGCAATAATTGAAAAGTTACGAATTTTAGCAGGATTAATTTTTTTGAGAACTTCATCAAAATGGT